ACATGTAAAGCATGAAAATGGGAAACTTTGTCCCATTCTTAGTTTAAGGAGGAAGACTTTTAATAATTTCCCATTATGTATATATTTGTTGTAGGTTTTTTCCCAAAGATAATCTTGACAGATTAAGAGATTTTCCTTCCATTCTTATCTTGTTAAAAGTTTTATTGTGACTGTATGTTGAATTATATCAAATGATTTGCCACATCAATTAAGATAATCTTATGATTTTACTCATTTATTTTTAGCAGAATAATTTGTGAGTATAGGGTACTGACATTTGAAAATTAAATCAGTCTTGCACTACTGGAATAAACCCCACTGTGTCATGATAGAACATACTGTTTTAGATATTGCTGGATTTAAATTTATCAATATTTTGTGCAGAATTTTGTTTCTTTGCTCATAAGAGAGATTAGTCTATAACTTATCTTCCGGTTGCTTTGGGCTTAATTTGCTCTTTTTTCCCTAGGTACCTAAGGTGGAAGCCTTGCTTATTGATGTGAGATTTTTTCTCTTTTCTAATAAATACATTTATAGCTATAAATTCTCCTTGAAACACTGCTTTAGCTATATCCCATAGGTTTTGGTATATTGTGGTTTTATTTTCACCAGCTCTAATTTCCCTTGTGATTTCTTCACTGACCCATGAGTCATTTAAGGGTGTGTAGGGAAGATCCCAAGTTTCTTTCTGTTATTGAATTTTAATTTAAGTCCACATACTTTGTATCATTTCAATGCTTTTAAAATTATTAAGACTTTTTCATGGCCTAGCATATGATCCATTGTGGAGAACACTCCATGTGCACTTGAAGAAATATGTATTCTGCTATTACTGAGGGGAGTATCCTATAGATGTCAGTTATATCAAGTCGATTGAATACATTCTTCAAGTTGTCTATATCCTTGCTAATTTTCTGACTAGTTGTTCTATCAATTATTGAGAACGGAGTATTGAGATCTCCAACTATTTTTGTGGAATTGTCTGTTTCTCCCTCCAATTCTGTCAGTGTTTGCTTCAGGTATTTGGGGGTTATGTTGTTAATTGTACATGTGTTAATAATTTCTATATTCCTGAGATAGTAACCCTTTATCATTGTGAAGTGTCCAAATTTGTCACTAGTAATTTTTTTTTAATAAAGTCTATTTTTGTCTTATATTATTGTAGTTACTCAACCTCTCTTGGGGTTACTGTTTGTATGACATATCTTTTTCCATCTTTTTATTTTCAAACTTTGTGTATCATTGAATCTAAAGTGTGTTTCTCATAGATACCATACAGTTGGATCATGTCTTTTAATCAGTCTGACAATATCTGCCTTTTGCTTAAAGTATTTAATCTATTTAAATTTAATGTAGCTATTTATATGGTTGATTTACATATGCCATATTGCTATTTATTTTTTATGTCTCATGTCTTTCTTGTTGCTTTGTCCTTTATTCCATTCTTTTCTGTTAAATAGGTTTTTATAGTATAACATTTTTATTCTTTTGTTCGTGTTTTAACTTTTTAAGGCTATTTTCTTAGTGTTTGCTCTGGGGATTACAATATGCATCTTAATTTATCACAATCAACTTCAGATTAATGCTAATTTAATTCCAGCAAAATACTAAAACTTATGTCCTAGTACAGTTCCATACCCTCTCACTTTCTAATGTGATTATTGTCGCATATATTATCTACCTACGTTATAAGCCCAACAATTAAGTGGTATAAGTATTGCTTTATACAGTCATATCTATTAAAGAAGTTAAAAAGGGAAAGAAGAAACATATATTTATAGTGTCTTTTATATTGGTCTACATATTAACCAGTTCTAGTATTCTTCATTTCTTCTTCTGAATTCAGCTTACCATCTAGTATTGTTTTCATCCTCCAATATAGCTCTATTCCTGTTTTCTTCCTCCAATATAGCTCTATCCCTACCCCCACTACTTTGTGCTATTATTGTCATATACGTTACATATTTATGTGTTATAAGCCAAATATTACAATTTTATAATTATTGTTTTTTGCCTTTTAAATAAATTAGGAAAAGAAACCAACAAACACATTAAAGGGTGTTCCACATCATTAATCATCAAGGAAAAGCAAATCAAAACCATGAGGAGATATCACCTCACAACAGTTAAGATGATTATAATCAAAAAGGAAGAAGATAAGTGTTGATAAGGCTGTGGAGAAAAGGAAACTCTTTTACACTGTTGGTGGGAATGTAAATTGGTGCAGCCACAATGGAAAATAGCATAGAGATTTCTCAAAAAATTAAAACTAGAACTACCATATGATCCAACAATCCTACTTCTCGGCATATATCCAAAGGAATTTAAGTTAAGATCTTGAAGAAATATCTGCACTCCCATGTTTACTGCAGCATTATTCACAATAGCCAAGACATGGAAGTAACCTAAATGTCCATTAATAGATTAATGGGATGATGAAAATGTGGTATACACATACAATGGAATTTTATTCAGTCTTTAAAAAAAGAAGGAAATCCTGATATTTGAGAATGGATGAACCTAAAGGACATTCATTATACTAAGTGAAATAAACCAGACATAGAAGGACAAATACTACATGATACCACTTGTATGAGGAATCTAAAATAGTCAAACTCATAGAAGTAAAGAGTACAATGGTAGTTACCAAGGGCTAGGGGGAGGGAGAAATGGGGTGATATTAGTCAAAGGGTATGAAGTTACAGTTATGAAAGATGAATAAGTCCTAGAGATCTTCTGTACAGCATATGCCAATATTAATAATACAATATTGCATACTTAAAATTTTGATAACAGAGTAGATATTATATTGTGTTCTTATCACAAAAATAAAAATGATAATAATAATAATAAGATAATTTAGAAGAGCAAGAGGAAACTTTTGGAGGTGATGGATATGTTTATGGAATAGATTGTGGTGATAATCTCACAGATGTATACTTATCTCCAAATTCATCAACTTGTGTACGTTAAATATGTATATCTTTTTGTATGTCATCATAGCTCAATAAAGTGGTTTTTAAAAAAAGAAATATGTACATGTAATATATATATACTCTTTTATACTTACCTACATAATTACCTTTACCAGTGTTCTTTGTTTCTTTATGTGGATTAAAGTTTCCATCTGTTGTCACTTTCTTTTAATCCGAAGAACTTCCCTTAGTATTTCTTGTAAGGCAGATTTTCTAGCAAAAAATTCTCTGAGTTTTTCTTTCGCTGGGAACATCTTCTTTTCAACTTCATTTTTGAAAGATAGCTTCACTGGTTATAGAATTCTTGATTGAAAAAGTTTTTTCTGTCAGCACTTTAAATATGTCAACTGTCTCTCTACTGGCTGCCATTATTTCTGATGAAGAGTTAGTTGTTAATATTATTGAAATTCCCTTCTGCATGTTGAGTCATTTTACAACTTTCAAGATTTTCTCTTTACCTTTAGTTTTCAAAGGTTTGGCTTTGTGGGTCTCTGTGTTTCTTCTACTTATATGTGTAGATCAATGCTTTTCATCAAATTTAGGAAGTTTTCAGCCATTATTTCTTCCCCTTTCTCTTTCTATTCAATTACATATATGTTGGTGTGCTTGATGATGTCTCACATGTCTCTGATGCTCTGTTTATTTTTCTTCATTCTTTTTACTTTCTATTCTTCAAATTGGATAATTACTATTGACCTATCTTCAAATTTACTGATTATTTCTTCTGCCAGCTCAAATCTACTGTTGAGCATCTGGTGAATTTTTTCATTCAGTTACTACACTTTTCAACTCCAGAATTTCCATTTGGTTCTTTTTTAATAATTTCTATGTCTTTATTGATATTCTCTTTTTAATCTATTATCTATCATCTCTGGGGTCCTAGTGTTTTCCTCAGTGATTTCACGGGTTCTCTATGCAGTAAGATTATTAACACTTTGCTGATATTTGATTTGGCATTTTCTCTAGTTTGTGGTTTATATTTGATTATATTTACTATTTTCCATGTTAAGAATTTAAACATTTTTACCTAAAGAAATATACTTCAAAAATGTTACTAATGATATATCATCAACCTTAAATTTACTACTTTGTGGTATTGTAAAGGTGTTGCCCCTCAAGATTCTCCTTTCTTTAAAATAATTGTAATTGTTGAGGGCCTGATAGTGTCAGAGAGATTGTCTCAGATGTTAAGCACATGTGTTAATGAATCCCAGACTCTGCCCTGACCTCAAATGTCAGTCTAGAAGGAGAGATAATTATAAAATTGTAAAATTAAAATGTATAAAATTTAGAAGGGGGGATAATTATAAATTTGTACTAAATTATTTGCAAAGGAGAGCGACTGATCAGCTGAGTGTAAATATAAGAACTTTTTAAATGAATGACTTTCCTTGCTCTTCTCCCTCTTCTTCAAGATTCATGCTTTTCCTGGGATTCAACTCATAGATTTAGAGAATCATCTCTGTCTGTTCCTGCTTAGTCTCAGTGTAGAACCATTTCCATGGTGTTCTAAGGTGTGAGTGCCTTGAGTATCTTTCCCATAATTTCATATCTTATCTCCATGTAGTCCACTGTTTCTCCCCAATTTATCCTTACTTCTTTGAGTCATATTTTCTTTCATAGTAAACAAAGACCAGAAATGGCCAATATATAGAGAAGGCTGGGTTCTAGTGATTGTCATATAACCTTAAGAGGTAAGGTAGTATTATTATTACCCTTTATGGGTGAGAAAGCTGAGGCAGAGGAATTTTAAAACTCTCCCAGTATCAACCAATAAGAAGAAAAGCCTGGATCTGAACCCAGGCAACCTAGCTCCAGAAATCATGCTTTTAATTAATACACCCTAGGTCTTGAAAAAGTTTGTAAATACTTCAATTCAACAATGAATAACTATTTTGAGATATGAAAAAAATTCCACAATTTTTCTCAACCTCTCTCAAATCCAATGGGCCCATGCTATAAGGATTAAATTCAAGACTCATGACACTGGCTCCTGTTCAGCCACATGGCCAACTTTGAGGGAGGCCTGGCTTTGGAGAGATGCAGAAAGGCAGCCAACCAAGGAGACTTACTCTGTCTTCCTCACTTATTCCCTCTAATGTTTCTCTCCTAGTTGAGCCCACAGTGACTGTGTATCCCACAAAGACCCAGTCCCTGCAGCACCACAGCCTCTTGGTCTGCTCTGTGAATGGTTTCTATCCAGGCCCCATTGAAGTCAGGTGGTTCCGGAATGGCCAGGAAGAGGAGGCTGGGGTCGTCTCCACAGGCCTGATCCGTAATGGAGACTGGACATTCCAGACCCTAGTGTTGCTTGAAACAGTCCCTCAGAGTGGAGACGTCTACACCTGCCAAGTGGAACACCCAAGCCAGGTGAGCCCTCTCTCAGTGGAATGGAGTGAGAAGCTCTCTGCCCTCATAAATTCCTCACCCACCAGGGAGGGGACTTTGCTTGTCCCTGAGTGTCAGGTTTCTGCTCTCCCCACACCGTATTTTCATTTGCTCCATGTTCTCCTCTCCTTCAGCACAGATCACAGGAGGTATCCTGTGATATCTGTGATAGAAAGCCTCTAATAATTATAGATATCCTCTGATAGTTTCTACAAATACTTTACCCTCTGGGAAGGCAGTTATGCTTGACAGGCAGATAAGAGGTTGTCCTTGTTTTGAGCCTTCCCATGATATCACAGCTCATGGTTCCCCTTTGCCGTGGGCATAAGTCCCCTGCTTTGGACTGGGCTTGTAATCCTGGCACTGTTGCTCTAAATTGTTCATTGTGATTTGAGCAGAGGCGCATCCTTTACAATGTAGGGACTTTCCTGACAGCAGGGGAGTCCAGTCTCAGCTCTGCCTTTTGTTAGCTCTGTTACCCTAGATAAGCTACTCAACCTCATGGAGCCCCAGGCTCCTCTTCCATCAGATGTTGAACTAGTGGCCTTATGTCAGGGCTGTGATATTCAAATGAGTTCAATGCCTGAACCTTGTAGCTACTCAGTGTGATTTTTAAGTCACTTCTCCAGAAATGGCCAATTATTGTAGCTCTACCTGGGCAACCTTCTTCCCCCATTCTCAAAACTCTCACTCCCAGAATCTCAAATAGGTAAGTTGGATTTAGGGTAAAAATCACTAAAACTGGCATCTTTTCCCAGGGGCCAAGTCTGAATCTGCACAGAGCAAGATGCTGAGTGGAATTGGGGGCTTTGTTCTGGGTCTGCTCTTCCTTGGGGTGGGGCTGTTCATCCACCTCAGGAATCAAAAAGGTAAGAGAAAGGGTCAGCTAAGACCCTTACAGACCTTTGGGGGAAGAAACCTGGCTTCGCTCTAGTTAGTTCTCTGTATGCCAGTGGCCCTGTACAAAGCTTTTCTTTACCTAGTCGACCTCAAATTTCCTGGAAATCTAGAAATCAACAGTGCATTGTTACTATGTTGAAACATAAAAGGTTATAGCCTGTAGAGGTGAGAGAAGGGTTAACATGAATGGAGATCTTGGGAGAGATCCTGGGACAAATGCAGGAAGCGCCGCTAAGGCTGATGAAATTACACTGGATTTGTGTAACAGAAACTTCATGGGTCACAAGCTCTCAGTTTCTGCTCTCCTCTCTCATCTGTGCATTGTCCTGTTAGAGAAATCTCAGGTGGGGAGATAGGAGCTGAGGACATTGTGTTTGGGGGCAGATTTGCCTCCATATCTTTTAAGTATGTATCTTCCCCTCTCTTTCCCGGGACACACTGGACTTCAGCCAACAGGTAATGCTCTTTAATCCTCTTTTAGAGATAGGTTTGGTCTCCCAGAACAGATGGTAGAGATGACAAGACAGAAGAAGAAATAATGGGAAAGACTTAATTCTGATCAGGCAGTTTGCAGTAAAACTTCTTCTCTCCACTTAATAAAATAGCCTGTGCTCTAAGTAGCATTGGCTCAGGGTAACTTTACAATTTTTTCCCCTCTTACTGCAGAGCTTTATCATGAGGCCCTGAGAGGGGGGAAGGGAAACTGCTTGTAGAGTTAGGTCTGAAAACAACGCTCTCCTCTGTCTTCTGCAGGACTCCTGAGCTGAAGTGAAGATGATGACCCTCAAGGAAGAACCTTCTGTCCCAGCTTCTTCGCAGCATGAAAAATTTCCTACTTGACTCTTACTCCATCAAGAGAGTGCTTCCTCAGATTCTGGTTTGCTGCTGGTTCAGTGACCCTGCAGAAAATGCCCTCCCCAATGGATTCCTCATCCCCTGCCCTAGGCCCGGAAGTCCCCACTACTGATTGCAGGACTTAATTTTCATTCTTTCCCAGTCCCCTTTGTATTCAACCCTTATGGCCTCCCTTGCATCTGAACTCATTTTCTGCCCACATCTTTTTATAAAGTATTTCTCAAACAAGCCTGAAGTGAAAATCATCTGCTTCATACAGTTTCAAGGACAAGAAGTAGAAATAAAAGAGAAAAAGATAATTGCATCACATCACCATAATGATTTTCATTTATATTCCTGAATTTTGGTCACATGTGGGTCTTGAAGTTTTCCTGGCTTCCTTCCCAAGTTTTTCTTGCTTATTCTGCATTCTATAATTAGGCATATTTACCTGAGCTAGTATAAAGCCATAATGACCCCACATTATGGTGATCTCCTACATTTATTCATTCTCAAAGACAAACACAAGTGGTCATTCACACCATGGGATACAGACAGAGGACAACAAGTATAAGAAATGCAGGTAACTTGTAAGGATGTGATGCCTTCAAGATTTTTATAATCATGTTCTTCAGTCTCTTTTTCCCTGATTTTTTTAAAGAAAGTATCTAAACCTGGATACTTCTTGAATTCCCTTCGTATTAGTTAAGGGTAGGCTTCAACACCTCAATCTTTTTTTCTGTCTCTTCAGTAAAAGTCACTGGCATGCTGACTCTTTGGCTTGGGATGTACTCTTCCCCATTACTGGTCTCAGAAGGCCACTAGAGCAAAGCCACAACTTAATTGGAAAAGATGCATTACTGAGACTCTCTGGATTGTGTCACAAACTCTGTCACAGGAGAATCCTGTGTGGATCTTACTGTAGCAGAAATCAGACACAATGCTGGGAAAAAAGGGGGAATGTATAAATACACTGATGTGCATGCAAACAATGAAATACTCTGCAGCTAGAAGAAAACATGAGAAACTTTCTGTACCCTGCTATGGAATAATCTCTAAATATATCCAGAGCAAGGTACAGGAGAGTATATGCGGTATACAACATTGTGTTTAACAAAATAGATGAGGAGAATAGGAATATATACCTATATTCATTCTATTCTATTTGTTTCTACTTACATTTGTAAATAGAAACAATGGAAGGATTTTAAAAATGATTGCCTTTAGGGCAAAAGAGAGAATGAGTAGTAGGGAATAGAACTGAGAGCTGGGGCTTTTCTGAATGTATCTTACTTAGTAGTTTATTGGGTTTTTGTTTTTGTTTTTGTTCTTGTTTTTTGGTGAGGAAGATTAGCCATGAGCTAACATCTGTTGCCAATCCTCCTATTTTGCCTGAGGAAGATTGGCCCTGGGCTAACATCTGTGCCCATCTTCCTCCCCTCTATACATGGGATGCCTGCCACAGTATGGCTTGATAAGCGGTGTGCAGGTCCATGCCTGGGATCTGAACCTGTGAATCCTGGGCCGCCGAAGCAGAGCACGTGAACTTAACCACTATGCCACTAGGCTGGCCCCTTTACTTAGTAGTTTTAACATGAGGAACATTCAAATATTTTATGTAATAAAATGTGCACAATTGTGTCAAAAGTAAATAATGATGATTTTACCTCTTTGCTATGCTTATACTTTTTATTTATTTTTCATGCAATTTTTCATTGTCTAACACCTCCAGTACTCCAGAAATCCAAGGGAAGTTTTTAAATGTTCACCATTGAGTCTGATGTGTACAGTCAGGTAGTATTCTTTCTTAGATTGAGAAAATTCCTTTTTATTAATAGCTTTTTTTTTATCCTAGATTTTTTTTAAAAATTAAGAGCAGGTGTTGAATTCTGTCAAATGATATTTTATGACTCTATCAAGATGGTCATATGTCCTTCCTCCTTCTTTCGGTTAATATAATAACAGAAAACCTAGCTGACACAATAAAAAAAGAAAAGGAAATAAACGGCATGCTATATTGTGAGATCTGAAATTTCAAGTGCTGCCGTGACATCTTCAAGCCTTAAAGGGCCTCAAAAGTCTAACCGTGAGTTCCCCTGCTTTTGCCAAATGTGTTTCCCTAACCCAGCAGGAAAGACTCCCCACCTGGCTGCATCTCCCATCAGCCTGAACAGCTGCACTACACCTGATCCTCAGCCTAAGAGATTCAGTTCTCTGCCAGCCTGTGGAACTATCAAACAAACTCATTACATTCTCTCCTTGGAACCAAGGATATCTCATCCTCTTGTTACTACAAAGCCTGCGTCTCATAGCCCCTGCTAGTTCACTCTGTTCCTGAGTGCAACCACCATGTGGCTCTATATGGAATGCAGTTTCCTCCTCCCTCAGGCTCTGAGTTTATGTAATAAACTGCTATCGGTCTCATCTGTTCACTTTGGGTGTTGTGTGTTCAGCTGTGTCATACTATTTAGGGTGGGAGACCTCTCCTTCATCAACATCATGAAGAGGAGGTGGTCAGAATACATGCAGATCAGAAAGGAAGAAATAAAACATTCCCTATCATCAGTTGATATGATGATCTACATAAAAAATACCAAGGAATGGCTCCCCTTCCCCAACAAAAGCCTCTCAGAACTAATAAGAGAATTGATCAAGATTGCAGAATTCAAAATAAACCAAAAGAATAAATTTATATTTCTATATATGTCAATGAAGACATAAAACATAAATTAAAAATTCAGTACTATTTACAATTACTCAAAAAAAAACCACTTAAGTAAAACTCTAAGAGAACATGTACAGGACTTGTATGCTGACACTCTGATGAAAGAAATCAAACATCTAAATAAATGGTGAGACTTAACGATATTCATCAGCAGAAAAACTCAACATGGTAAAGATGTCACTTGTCCCCCAAATTGATATCACGGTTTAATGCAATTTCAAAACAAATCCAGCAAAATTTTTACTAGTTGTAGACAAAGCTATTCTAAAAACTAAAGCAAAAGCCTTAGAATAGATAAAACAAATTTGATAAAGAAAAATAAAGTTGAGAGATTGCTCTAACCAAATTTAAGACTTTTATATAGCTACAGTAATCAAGACTGATGGGTATTGTGAAGGGATGGACACATAGATGGGTGGAAAAGTATAGAGAATCCAGAAATAGACCCACACCAACTCACTTTTGACAAAGGTTTAAAGAAATTGAATGGAAGATGGACAGTTTTTTCAAACAATAGTGCTGGAGCAAGTGGATACCCATAAACAAAAAAAGGAAAAGAAAGAAAGAAAAGGAAAAAGAGAAAAAGGAAACTATACCAATTCTCACATTTTATACAAAAATTCACTCAAAATAGGGGCCAGCTGGTGGGGTAGCGGTTAAGTGCATGAGCTCTGCTCTGGCGGCCCTGGGTTCGCAGGTTCGGATCCCAAGCGTGCACTGATGCACCACTTGTCAAGCCATGCTGCGGCAGTGTCCCATATAAAGTAGAGGAAGGTGGGTACGAATGTTAGCCCAGGGCCAACCTTCCTCTGCAAAAAGAGGGGGATTGGCATCGGATGTTAGCTCATGCTGATCTTCCTCACAAAAAAAAAAAATTCACTCAAAATATATCATATATGTAAATGTAAAATATAAAACTTTTAGAAGAAAATGTAGATGAAAATATTTGGGACCTAGGGCCTGGTGAAGAGTTCTTAGACACAACACAAAAAGCATAATCCATAAAAGAAAAACATCAATAAATTGGGCTTTATCAAAAGTAAAACCATTTTTTCTGCAAAATATCCTGTCAAAAAAATGAAAAAATAAGGTACAGACAGAGAGAAAACATTTGCACACTCCAAGTATCACCAAGAGCATGTATTTAGAATATAAAAAGGATTCTCAAAACTCCACACTAACAAAAGGAAAAAAATCTCATTACAAAACGAGGAAAAGGCATGATAGGGCATTTTGTCAAAAAGGATATCCAGATGGCAAATAAGCACACTGAATGTTCAATATCACCACGCGTTAAGGAAATGCAAACTAAGAATATGATGATATATCACTACATACTTATTAAAACAGCTAAAACATCAAATAGTGACGATGCAAAATGCTGGTGAGAATGCAGAGAAACTGGATCTCTCATACACTCTGAAATGGTACAACTCCTCTGAAAAATAGTTTGGCAGTTTCTTAAAAACCTAAACATACACTTACCACATGATCCAGTAATCGTATCTCTGGGCATTATTGCCAGAGAAATGAAAACACATGTTCACACAATAATCTTACACAAATGTTCATGACAGCTTTATTTGTAATAGTCCCAAACTAGGAACAACCAAAGTGCCCTTCAATAGGTGAATAGTTGAAGAAACTGTAGTACATCCAGACCGTGGAATACTACTGAGCAATAAAGAAAAAGAACAAACTACTGATACACCCAACAACTTGGATGGATCTCAAGGGCATTATGCTGAGTGAAAAATGCAAATTTCAATAAGTCACACGCTGTATGATTCCATTTATCTAACATTCTCAAAATGACAAAATTATAGAGATGGAGAACAGGTTAGTGGTTGTCAGGTGTTAGGGTGGTGGGGTCTGAAGCAGAGTACTTGTGACTGTAAACGGTAGCATGAGGGAGATCTCTGCAGTAATGCAATGGTTCTGTGCTTGATTGTGGTGGTGGTTACACAAATCTACAAACGTGATAAAACATATGCATAGAATTATACACACACACACTGTACCAATATCAGTTTCCTGGTTTTGATATTGTAGTATAGTTTCTTAAGATATAACCATTACAGCAAACTAGGTGAAGGAGTACACAGGATCTCTCTGGACTGTCTTTGCAAAGATCTGTGAATCCATAATTATTTCAAAATAAAAAGGTTAAAGTTGTCATTCAAAATTGATGGAGAGATAAAGAGTCTTCCAGACAAGCAAAAGCTAAAGGATTTCATTGCCACTAGACTGGTCTTATAAGAAATATTCGAGGGACTTCTTTAGGCTGCAATGAAGGGCACTAATTAGTAACAGGAAAACATAAGAAAGTATAAATCTCACTGGTTAAAGTAAATATGTAATAAAGGTTGTGGAATAATCACTTATAAAGCTAGAATGAAGGTTAAAAGACAAAAGCAGTGAAAATAACTGTAACTATAATAATTTCTTAAGGGATACACAAGTAAAAAAGGTGTAAATTGTGACATCAAAAACATAAAATGTAGAAGGGGGAGAAAAACGTAGAGCTTTAGAATGCAT